AAACAGTACAACAATGAATGAATGAAAACCCAAAATCTCTGTAAATGTTCATTAAAACTAATAAATTTTAATAATAATAAAAAAGAAATTGTGGTATATTCACACAATAGAATACTATGCAGCACACAGAAGCAACGATTTTATAAATTACTACTTAGGAGGGACTGGAGAGCATTATGTTGAGTGAATTAACTAACTCAGTCCCATAGGACAAATACTGTATAAGACCATTATTGTAGAATGAGTATGAAGATTCAAGGAGGGTGGGAAGGAGCAGAGGGGTGAGGATGGGGGAAGGTAATTATAGGATTGCACAATTTGATGGGAGGGTGAAGGAAATGGGAAAGTTTAGGTGTGAAAAACAATGTATATAAACTTTTTAAATAAAGCTGTATAAAATAAAACAAACAAAACAAAACCAAAAAATTGGTCTGGTATATTTCTACTGCTTGAACACATGAAATCTGGTTTGTGTTTAGTGAGTAGTTTCTCTATTGTACTAAAAAAGCTTTTTGGTATAATTATTTTTTGTGTATAAAATAAAGTTTATTGCATGTTTCTACTTACACATGCTCTAAAATGGGAGAAGGCTTGATATGAAAAAAAAAAGGCCTTGAAACTGTCATTTTGTCACTCTAACATTTTGCTTATCTTATTATGTATGGGCTATTTTTGTAATTTTTTAAAAAATAATTGCTTTTTCATCCTCTTTCTTTACAGGCTAGGAAGTGAAGATACCCATTTTGAGGTTAGCATGGCCAACAATGGGTGTGAAGTGCACCGCTTTGATCCTAGTGTTAGATCAGCTCACATTTTAGAGAGCCAGCGCCTTTGGCATCACCGCCTGTCTATCGACTGGAGGGACCCTCATCCAGCAGTTGCTGCCCAGAAACCTCATAGCAACACCAGAAAACTGGGAACCATCTTAAATGAATTTGGGCATCCCAAGGTGAGTGTTTCCATGTAGTTTTTATATTTAAAGAAAGAAACAAGCTCATAACAACTTTTTTTTCTCTTTTTTTAAAAAGGCTAGAATAACCAATGTGGGTTTGTTGAAGTTCTAGTTTTAATATAAATTATCACCATCATTATTTACATGTGTACATAAAGTTCTAGCAAGGACAGAGATGATTAAATTGGTTTGAAGATTTTAGTTGCTGTTGAGTGGTACTAAGTTCATGGTCAAGATTAGACAAAGACATTAAGAAACCTAGTTCTGGCATGAGCTCAGAAATCCCGTTTCCATTTGGCAATTCATTAAAAAAATCTCCGGACAAGGAAAAGTGTATATGTTGACTTCAAATATAAAAAAATAATCAGAATCAAGTTTACATTTGATAAGGATTTTTTTTGTATATCATGTTTCTTACTATTGTGACAACAATTTTGAGTCTCTTTGTTCTTTAAAAAGGAGCTCTGGTGGCCTGGTATGTAAATAGTTAAGTTGTCAACCTAAAGGCAAGCTATTTGAATCCATAAGCAGCTCTACAGGAGAAAGATGGGCAAGCTCCTCCCATGAGATTTACTGACTATTATTCTGAGTTTAGTTGTTTGGCTCTTAAAGAAGGACCCCTGGTGGTGCAGTGAGTTAGGAGTTCAGCTGCTACCAGAAAGGTCAGCAGTTTGAACACATCAGCTGCTGCTTAGAAAGATGAGGCCATTTGTTCCCGTAAGGATTTATAACATTGCATAGTTCTTTCCCTCATCTTCTTAAATGCAGTGTTCATTATTTATCCTCTCTTCTTAGTTTTCCCCTAACTCCCATGTCAGTCCTGTTTTATAACAGTGGCATTAAGCAGTATTTGTCCTTTTGTGACTGTGATATTTTGCTCAACATAATGTCCTCCAGAGTCACTCATTTTGTGTAGTATTTTATGAGTTCCTTGTTTTTTCGGGCTACATAGTATTCCACTGTGTGAATATACCACAGCATTTAAAAGAAATATATGATTAGATATTATGTGCATGACAACAGTCCAGAATAAGAGGTGCATAGCAAAGTGGACTAGGGGCTGGGAAGAAAGGAAATTGTGTAACAATGGAAGAATCTTTTTAAGAAGAAATGAAAGAATTTTTAAGAAGAAAAGCAAACTTAGGCTGTAGAGAGGAAAATACACAACAGTGAATGAATGGAAATTCAACTTTTCTGTAAATTTTATTGAAACATCAATAAAAAAATTAAAAAAGGATTTATAGCATTGGAAGTTCTATGAGACAGTGGTACTCTGTCTTAAGGGTGTCTGTGAGTTGGAATCAACTTAATGGCAGTGAGCTTGAGTTGTTTCTAAGATCAGAAAATATGTAGAGCTTTGACTAAGTGTACTTTACAAAATTTATATGTGCTTCAATTCCTATTATAATATGAAAGAATGTCAAGTCACTGTGAAATTTTATTCTGAATGGATAGCAAAAAAAGAAACACATTCCCTGAGCTGTGTTCCCTGAGAATTATTATGGAGGCAGTAGACTTGCATTAAACACGTTCTATGGACAGTTAGAAATTCTCCTGAATTCAATTGACTTGTGTTTGATGCTCATTCTTTACTCAGACTTGGTCTGTATCCAACCAGAGCTTCCATGTAGTTTAGAACATGTCAGAATATGTGTTTCTACCCAAAATGGCATGCATGGGATTAAATTTTAAATTTCCATTGGCTCTTGCTGTTTCATAAAAGCACTTTCCCTGCATTTTTCTCTTTCTTTTTTTAAATCCCCTTTTATAAACAAGAGCTTCTATAAGAACAACTTCAAAAAGTTTGCTGTTCTTTCAACATATGGTTTATGTTAATTACTATTTTACTTTTCCACTTAGACTAACTAGCTTTTAATAGCCTTGATTAAATGAGTCCTGGTTTTGCAATGGTTAGGTGTTTGGCTGCTAAGGATAAAGGCTGACCCCACTGAGGAGCTTCTACAGAAGAAAGATCGGGAAATTTACTTCTATAACTATTACAGGAGAGAAAATCCACCAAAAATCCAAGGCAAACCAACAAAAACCCTTTGGGGCAGTTTTACTCTGTCCCATGGGGTCATATGGGTCAGCGTCAGGTCTATGTGTGTTCCTATACAGGGTTGTTCTTGGGAGGGAACAAAAACTATGAGCAGAAACTTTTATACTGTGAATTAATTTTGTAGAATGCGTGGGAAGAAGTGGGGAGCATTTTTGAGAACTTCATTTTTTTCCCCCCCTGCCACTTTTTACCATCATAGACCTCACTTTTAGAGCTGAAAATTACAGGCTTGATTCTCTAATATGTCAACTCTAGATTAGTCAAAGAGCTAAATACTGATTCTTTGTGCTCACTTAAGAGTCTTGCTGCTCTCCCTTAATGCTTTTTACATCCTGGTCCCCTCCAACCTCCCCATATTCTTCAAAGAAAAGACTGAGTAGAGAGAAGAGGGGAAACTCAAAGACATTTTGCTTTAGTTAGATTATGTTTTAGCAAAAGATTTGATGAAGGTAAAGATAGTACAACACTTAAAAGTCATCTATGTATATAATTTATCTAAGCCACATTTCCTGCTGAAAATGCTTTCAGATAACCGTATGTGCCTGAACTGTATTTGTTTATCTCCATGGGGGCTGCACTGGCCATACCTTTATATTGAGCATGAAGAACAAAGACTTATTACAGCATTACTCCTGAGAGACAGAAATATTTACAATGATCTCTAAGAAGGAGAGATATTTTAAAGGATTGATGGCCTTTTGTTCATAGGGTCACTATGAGTCATGCTCAACAACAACATGTATTCCAAAGTTCATTTATTTTAATTAAAACATTAATATTGAAAACGCTGGTTCAGAATTGCCAGTTATACACGTAATTGCTGCTTTAAAAAAGTATCCTTTGTTGGATATTGAAATTGATATTTGTTTGTAGAAATGTCTTTGGTGAATGGCTAAAAACAAAATCCAAATCTATCGGTGAATGATTGTTTCCATTAGGACTATGCTTCTGGGTGCTATGTGATCCTAGATAAAAAGAAGCCTTGTTTGTGGCCTGTAGCAAGCTCTGTCTGTTTTCATTTTCCTGTGTATGTACAGATGCTGGTAAGTAGGACGAGGTTCTGACAGCGGGAGCAAATAAATAAAAACAAAAGCAAAACCATGAAAAATGTCAGGCTTTTGCCTTGCTATCTTTACCCATTTATTCTGAAAGGGACTGTTGAAGTTAGGGTTTTTAGTAGTGGCTTTACTTTGTTTTGTTTCCTTCATGACTTTAAAATCACTCATATTGTTTTATGGTGCTTTCCATTTTAGGTTATTTTTCTTCTTTTCTCAATCCACCCCTAGATTCCAGCCACACAGGCAGTGTAAGCAGAAACGAAAGGCACTTTTTGGAGATGATAACAGAAAGATGCATATGGCTCTCATACTGCTCCTAAAACTCTTTGGTAATTTTAACTTCAAACTATAAATCAAAAAACCTTTGAACAGCTGTATCAGCAAAAGCATATGAACCAGAAACCCAGTCTGTCAAGGAATAAGAATCACCTGGATCCAGCATTATTTGAAATGATTAACTGTCTGCTCTTTGCTGAAGTCATTGCCATAACTAAGCATAAGGATTTTTCTAGAATGACTGAAAAGATTTAATCTGTAGTTTCTGCTCATATTAGTTATAATTTATGCTTTATTCTGTAGTCTTTATTATATACTCAAGGTATCCTAAGTGATTGGGGCTAGTTAATGAAGAATTTTTTTTTCCAGTTGTGACCATGCTAATGATAATCAGAATAACAGAGGTGCAATAAAGTTTCTCTCTGCAAATTCTTTAATTTGAGTTTAAATGGCAGGTCCCATTGTGAACAAGTCATTTAACTTCTCTAACACTCAGTTTGATTGTCATTAAAATGGGGATGAAATATCTGCCTCAAAGGATTGTTCTGAGAACAAGATCAGGAAATACTCCTAACAAGGTGCCTGGCTTGATCACTCCATTGTTTGCTGTAAATTTTAAAAATATTATTAAAAATATTTGTGCACTTTATTGTTCTCTCTCTCTCAGAAAATTCTAGTCAGGAGTTTTTAGGGAAAGCTTTTGTCTGAAACTGAAGGGCAATTGGTCCTTCAGACATGATTGTAGAGAAGTATTGTTGTTTGATGCTTCGGGCAAGGAAAGCAAATACTGTGTTGTATAGAAATCAAATAAGAGGCTGAGAATTAATTGGAATTCACTCCACACAGAGCAGATGTGGACCAAGGTGGCTGGGAATTGAGATTGCTGGCCAGGAACCTGGAGGGGTGGCCAGACTTTCTGGCTGTTCAGGCTCAGGGCAGCAAGTCTTGCCTTTTTTCTTGGGCCAGTCCCTGTGGCTGCATCCTCTTGGATTCTCACAATAGTACTAATCTCTGCTTTCCACAGCTGAGAGCATCCTGCTGATCACAAAGGATCAGTTCTATTGTGTGGTTCCCTGCTATTTTTGAGAGAATGTGGGCTTTAAAATTTAACTTCAAATGATTACTGGTTTATTTTTAAAATTATTATTTGCTTATAAAAATGGCAAATATAAACAAGATACTGACATGGCCCAGTATTGGAATAAATATTAGGGATAATACTCACTGTGGAAATTCAGGAAGAACATTTGACAATATGTATATATTATGTAAGAATCTTTGTTTTCTTGTTATTGAGACACAATCCATACTGAAGGCTGCATTCCTTGATCTTCTGCAACAAGTGCTTCAAGTCCTCCTCACTTTCAGCAAGTAAGGTTGTGTCATCTGCAGGTTATTGATGAGTCTCCCTTCAATCCTGATGCCACATTCCTCTTCATAGAGTCCAGCTTCTTGGGTCATTTGCTCAGCATAGAGATTGAACAGGTATGGAGATAGAATATAACCCTGACACACTCCCTTCCCAGTCCCCAACCATACACTACTCCTCTGCTCCATTCACACAACAGCTTCATGATCCAGGTATAGGTTCCTCATTAGCACAG